CGGAGACTCCAGAAACTCCTTCTATATTTACATTATATTCCTAACCCCCTACTTTGCAACTTTCATTCTTCCTTCCATACACCATAGCCAAGTCTGCCTCTTCACAAACCCCAGCTTCTCGCCCATTGACGAGAGCTTTTTGCCGAGAACATAACATTCTGGTTCCGTTGCCGGGCGTCAAAATGGGCGATATGAAGAAACTCCAAGACGAGGTCCGAGCTATCCAGGCTTCCGTTGAAAAGTTGGAACACCTTCCTGCAACTGTGGACGCTCTAACTGAGAACGTAGCCAACCTCACCCAGATGGTACACTCTTTCTTCACATCACCGAACACCGTTGCCACTACTGTCACTTCTTCTTTGGGCACCCAAGTTCCAGAAACTGCACCACCACAGCCAGCTGATTCCACCCATCCGACTAGATTCACCAAACTTGAGTTTCCCACTTTTGATGGCAAAAGCGACCCTCTTATTTGGCTCTATCGATGTGAGTTGTTCTTTGAAAAATCGCCACATTCTGATCAGGAAAAGGTTACCACTGCAGCATATTATATGTTTGATAGTGCCCAACTATGGTACAAACGTCGCTTGCAAGATGGTCAACTATTTTCTTGGATCCAATTCAAAGCTGCATGCACCCTCCGCTTCGGACCGCCCGGAGCATCAACCCGTTAGGAGAGCTGGCAAACCTCAAACAACAGGGTCGGGCTGTCGATGACTTCATTGATGATTTTCAGCTCTTGCTCGCACGGGCTGACAATGTCTTGTACTCCCAGCAGGTAAACTTATTCACTGCCGGCTTGGATGAGATCCTACGCATTGATGTTGAACGACTGAGACTTGATTCGCTTGATGAAGCCATTAATATTGCACAAGATTATGCTCGTAAAGGCACCCTGCTTCGTCCTACTACCTCCCGGAGGCCTTTCCCACCACAAACTCCACCGAGCAGTGCCATTACGGTACACCAACAGTCACTGGGGCAGAATACCACACAGTCTCGACTGCTGCAACCGAAGAAGCTTTCCCCGGCTGAGATGCTGGAACGGCAAAAACTGGGCCTTTGCTACAACTGTGATGAAAAATGGATTAAGGGCCATCGTTGCAAGCGCCACTTATATATGCTGGGAATTATTGAGGATGAGGAAGATGACGTGGATAATTGTCTGGAGGATTTGGAACCAGAAATCTCTCTCCACGCTATCACCGGCATAAACCATTCCCAAACAATGCAGATTCGTTTGATGGTTGCTGGTTCACCGATCATTGCCTTGGTTGATTCTGGGAGCACTGATAATTTCATCAATATTGCTACTGCCCACCGGCTTCATTTGCCTATCACCCCTCGCACTGGTTTGCATGTTGCTGTAGCTAATGGCGAACGCATGCCTAGCTCCGGAATCTGCCAGAACATGTTTTTACAGTATGATTCCATCTCCTTCATTGAAAACTTTTTTGTCATCCCTTTAGCAGGAGTGGAGTTGGTATTGGGGGTCAAATGGTTGCGCACGTTGGGCTCTATTTGGTGGAATTTTGAAACAATGCAAATGCACTTTGCGTGGCAGGGGACCGATGTGGTGCTTTCTGGGATTTCAGGTTCTGGTCACCCATCTTTGCACCTCCTTCACCAGCCCCTCACTGAAACAGCAGCAATGGATTCACTCCTTGACCACTTTGCATCAATTTTCGGCACCCCTCAGTGCCTCCCGCCCTCTCGCAGTTGTGACCACAGGATTGTACTGGCGCAGGGAACTAATCCCGTGGTTGTCCGACCATATAGATATCCTCACCTTCAAAAAGATGAAATTGAGCGACAGTGCAGTGACATGCTCCATTCGGGGATCATTCGACTAAGCAGATCTCCGTTTTCTTCCCCGGTCCTCTTAGTCCGAAAACAGGACCTCTCTTGGCACTTTTGTGTGGATTATCGGGCGCTTAACGCGAACACCATCAAGGACAAGTTCCCAATACCCACCATTGATGAATTGTTGGATGAGCTCCACGGTTCAAAAGTGTTCTCCAAATTGGATTTGCGTTCCGGCTACCATCAGGTTCGTATGCACCCGGAGGACATTGCAAAGACAGCTTTTCAAGCACATCATGGCCACTTCGAGTTTCTCGTAATGCCATTCGGCCTCTCTAACGCGCCATCCACTTTCCAAGCACTTATGAATGAGGTATTCGGGCTTTATTTGCGTAAATTTGTGCTCGTATTTTTTTATGACATCTTAATCTATAGCGCGACGTGGGTTGAGCACATTCAACACCTCCGCCTAGTACTGCAGTTGTTACAAGACAACACGTTATACCTCAAACGTTCTAAATGCATTTTTGGAGATCACCAAGTTAGTTACCTTGGACATGTGATCACTGACAGTGGCGTTGCTGTAGATCCTAGAAAAATTCAGGCTGTTCTAGATTGGCCTACTCCGTCCACACTCACTGCGGGCATTCTTGGGCTTGGCTGGATTTTACCGACGATTTGTAAAAGATTATGGGGTTATTGCTGCGCCCCTGACCAACCTCCTACGCAAGCATTCCTTCAACTGGGACAATGATGCAGACGCTGCATTCACTACTCTTAAAAGGGCTTTGTCTTCAGCTCCGGTTCTTTGCCTCTTTGCAATAATTTTTGTAGTAGAATGTGATGCCTCCGGGGTGGGCATAGGCGCTGTTCTGCACCAAGACGGGCACCCTATCGCTTATTTCAGCCGCAAGTTGGCTGATCGGCACCTGAAGTTACCAGCCTATGAGAGGGAACTCATTGGCTTGTCTCAGGCTGTCCGCCATTGGCGCCACTATCTGTGGGGGAGGGAGTTCGTCATCAAAACGGACCATTATAGCTTGAAATACCTGCTGCAACAACGACTCACTACCTCCCCGCAACAGCATTGGATGAGCAAACTTTTGGGATTTGATTTCAAGGTGGAATATAAGCCGGGGAGGCTTAATGTCATGGCAGATGCCCTCTCGCGGCGGGACGAAGAACCTAGCACTCTGTTTTCCATCTCATGCCCACGTACCTCCCTTTTACAGGACATTCGGGATGAGCTCACACAAACTACCGAAGGGCGTGCTTGGGTAGCCCGCGCAGCAGCTGACTCTACGAGTGTTTGGACGGTTCGTGATGGTCTTCTGTTTAAAGGTACTAAGCTGGTTTTGATTCCATCTCCTAAGTTTATTCCAGTTGTGTTATCCGAAATTCATGGCTCCACTCATGAGGGTGTTCAGAAGACGATCCATCGCATCCGGAGGGAATTTTATTGGCCTAAGCTTGCTGATTCTGTGAGGGAATTCATTGCCCAGTGCACCATCTGTCAACAGCATAAGTGGGAGAACACACACCCCTCTGGGTTGCTACAGCCGCTCCCTATTCCGGAGCAGATTTGGTCAGAGGTTTCCATGGATTTCATCGTTGGTCTGCCGAAGGTCCAGGGGAAGTCAGTGATCCTAGTGGTTGTTGATCGTTTGTCTAAATACGCTCACTTCTTCCCGTTGGCTCACCCGTATACAGCATCTTCTGTAGCATCCATCTTCTACGCCAATATTGTTAAATTGCATGGAATCCCAGAGAGTATAGTCAGTGACCGTGACCCATCATTCACAAGCTTGTTTTGGAAAGAACTTTTTCTGCTCTGTCGCACAACGCTGTCCTTTTCATCTGCGTATCACCCGCAATCTGATGACCAAACGGAGGTGGTAAATCGCACAATCGAGATGTACTTGCGGTGTCTTGTGAGCAGTTATCCAAATCGTTGGGTGGACACTCTTCCGTGGGCAGAGTATTGCTATAATACTTCATTTCACTCTTCCCTCAAGACTACTCCGTTTCATATGGTCTATGGTCGTGCTCCTCCTCGCCTAATCCCTTTCGAACCAGGAACGACGAAAGTGGCTGCTGTGGATGACCTCCTGCAGATGCGAGACGAGATTTTGACCCATGCGCGTCATCACCTTCAAGAGGCTCAGGTTCGTATGCGAGAGCAATATGATAAGCATCACAAGGAGGTAAACTTTGAGCCTAATCAATGGGTTTGGATTCGTCTCCAACACTACAGGCAGCATTCTCTTGCCCGTAGGAAATTAAGCTGTCTCCAAGATGGTACGGGCCCTATAAAATTTTACAACGCAGTGGTCCTTTGGCATACAGAGTAGAACTGCCTGAGAATTGCAGAATTCATAATGTCTTTCATGTCTCTAAACTGAAGGCTTTCGTGGGTGATCCTCCTTCGCAGCTTCCGACCTTGTCACCAATCACGGATGGTCGACTAGTCCTCCAACCTCAGAGGGTTCTGCGCTCTAGGCTCAATCGTGGTTCACCGGAGATTTTAGTTGTTTGGAAGGGTATTTCAGCAGATGACGCCACTTGGGAGCAACTGCATGACTTTAAGCTCCAGTTTCCTTCTTTCAAGCTTGTTGTCCAGGAGGGGAGTAATGATGCGTTCTTTGGAAAGGCATATCAGCGCCGGATTCGAAATCGCATGGAAGATATGTAGGCAGCAAACTAAGGGAACAAATCAAGATGATCTTTTTATTTCCTTTGTTAAGTGAGTTTATTTTAGGAAGACAATATTCTGCCTTCCTTTTGAATTATGTGAGTTTATTTTAGGAAGACAATATTCTGCTCTTAGAGAGTGAATAAATCAAGCATTGAAGTTTAAGAAATTAAGGAGCCGGAGACTCCAGAAACTCCTTCTATCTTCACATTATATTCCCAACCCCCCTACTTTGCAACTTTCATTCTTCCTTCCTTCCATACACCATAGCCAAGTCTGCCTCTTCACAAACCCCAGCTTCTCGCCCATTGACGAGAGCTTTTTGCCGAGAACATAACAGAACGATTATCAATACAAGAGTAATTATTAGGATCATTCAGCAGAGGACAATGTGGTGTACTGAAAGGGGAAGCTAGGAAGTCCGTAGAGTTATTCTTTGAAGAAAATAAGGAACTTTATACATGGGATGGAACTAATCCAACATAATTTCAAAACTCCGAAGCTGAAAACTTTAACCAAATAATTTTTGTCACAAATTCAGAATATGATTTGTGCTTTCCTTGAAGCTCGAGGGAATACCACTAACTCTTTCAAAATATTACAGACCTCCGATGCCTCTACTTTCTTGTCCACAAAACTAACCCTTTCTAAAGCCGGGCAGCACGCAAGTATTAGCTTTACAAAAAGCATTTGAGCTCTTGACCCCTGGAAATATTTCATCTTCAAAGCCCGCAAACTGTTAATCTCCTTGCTCATGCAGCTACGCTCTTGCAAATACTGTAAAACGAGGTTGTTGTCAGCAGTCGCTCTTGCAACCTATACATACAACAAAACTAAAATAAGTTCAAACAACAACAGTGAGAGTAGAGTAGAAATAAATAAATAAATGTAAGTAGACCATTAGTTTCTCACGTTCGTCAAAATTTCAAGGCTATGCACCCTAGGAGAGCTGTGAAGCAAGCAAAGGATGCTGGAGATTTGTACCAGATCGGTAAAGTTAATTTGAAATAGTGTAAGATCCCTCAAGTAGTTGATTTTAACTGGAAGTGCACTCATAATAGAGCCTGCAGCCAATAGCTTACCAGCACAGAGAAAAATGATAATGCAACCTAAACACATTGTTCGGGAAATAAGAATTGAAATCTTAAAAGAGATTGTACCTCGAGAAGGTATCCATCCAGAAATAGCTTTGAAATTAGAGGCCAGTGTTCAAACAAGCTTGCTAAATTGATCCTCTCACCAGGGCCAAAAGATTTAACTTCCAATGGTGATAAAAGACATGCAAATGTAATACTTTTGCAGTTCATAAAACAACTCAGTTTAAGATTATTGCAAAGTAACAAGGAGGAAAGTGATGGTGAACAGCCATCAAAGTTCAAGTGATCCATACCACTGCAGCTTTGTAACCACAAACGTTCAAGCTTTGATGCAGCAAAGATAGAAGCAGAAACCTCTGGCTTGAAAGCAACTTGAGACAAAAAAAGCTCCTTAAGATTTTGAAAGATTCTTATAGTACCACATGGTTGTTTGAAGATACAGTTAGACAGATACAGATACGTAAGTTCTTGACACAAGAATACATAAGAGGGAAGTGCATAGAGATCACGACTGGAATTCTTCACTGTAAGTTGCCTCAATCCATGACTTGACAAGTATAGTATCCATGGATCAATGTTTGGGTACTGTGACATGTGTACATCTGAAAGGTTGACATGAAAAGTTAGAATGGGCCCAATATGCTGTAAGAGAATTCGATTGCCTATTCCAACAAAATCATTTTTGGTGACAGTGACTATATCCTGGGGATCAAGTACAAGATTTGGATGACCAGCCCATATGTATCTCCATTTTCTAGACAAAATACTTGTTCTTGCTGCATCTCGAACAGGCAAGTGATCTAGGATGCAGTTTAAAACATCCGTTGGCAAGTTAAGAAGTTGATCATCCATGGCCCTCCGTTTGCTATTTCCTGAGATATCCATTCCTAATAAAAGGAGAAACCAGCATTAGAAAATCCAATTTTAAAAGAACAGTTTACAATAATACTTAACCTTGAAAAGTTAACCATTTGATAATATCATAATATAATGACAGTGACATTTATATCTGCAAACTATGGAATCCAATGAATACTACTACATCAAAAGTTCAAAACCCATATTCACCATCACCATTCAAGCTCAAAGCAAATATATACAAAATGGAAAAAGAATAAAACATAGTGAATTGAACTATATCACTAGCTTCTCCCTTCTACATGGTGGAAAATAACCAAATAAAAACTGGTTAATTAGGGCCAACCTCTCAGTCTCAGGGTTAGAGTATTTCTAAACAAAGGGTTTTTAAGGAAGATCAAATTGAAGCTGAAGTAAACAAAAAGCTGGAAATTTTTAGTAACAGCAAAGAAAATAAACACAAGAATAGCTTGTATTAACGCTACTAAATACGAATAATGCTGGAAACACCTAAACGGAGACGGTCGGATCTTCGACGGAGCACAAGGCAGGTCCGATTCGACGGAATGTCGCTATTTTATCAATATAATCCCTTAAGGGGTGTTTGGTTGGATGTAATTTAATTGTAATTCACTGAAAGCTTCAATTACAGTGGTTGGTTGAAGAGAATTGTAATTCCATGGAATTGCAATTTCCTCCTTTTGTTGAATTGTAATTCATGGGATAACCCAATAAATTGCAATTGAATGCTTTTGGGAAAGGAAAAAGTGTAAGAAATGACAAAAATATCCTTGTTGATTGTTATTATTATTATTTTACAAGAACATTTTAGTCTTTATACAACTTTTTCCTTCTCACCCCCAATAATTCTATTCTTCCCTACCAAACAATGTAATTTAAATTTCTATATTATTCCTACATTATTCTTTTTCCACCGAATTACAATTACTTTCCTTCCTAATTCCTTCCTCCCAACCAAACACCCCGTAATAATGTCTTCCAAAACTCCACCGCCTCCAAGTGGTGTCGTGGGTAAAAATTAATTTTACGGTTTTAATTGCACTATAATGCGCACCGACTAAATATTTCAAATATTAAAATTATATTATTATATTACATTATAAAAAACTATTGTTTAGTAATCATATTTTAGGTAACCTCTGATTTTGAGTAATCATATTTTTCAATCATTTTAATGAAATTCTAAATCAATTAAATTGGGTGAAACTGGAAAAATAACAAAAGAATAATATATAAAGACAAAAATGTCCTTATTACAAATAGGAAAAGTCATGAGAATGACTAAAAATGTCTAAAAAAATAAGGAAAAAGTGTCAAATTGGCCTCTTAAGTCATTCGGATAATGCAATTAGATCCCCTAAATAAAAAAAGTTTCATTCAAATTCCCTAAACCTGTAAAATAGTTCAATTAAATCCAAATTTACCTGTATAGCAAGTTAATTCATCCCCCATCTTGACACGTGTCGCCTTTAAAATATTTTTTTATTTTTATTCTTAAAAAAAAAAAATTTTATTATTAAATTATTAAAAATTAAAAAAAAAATTCAGCCACCGGCTGTTCGACGAGGACAGCCACGATTGTCAACATGAGTTCCAGATCTGGACCTCAAACGGTTGTTCGTGAAGGAGGCAGCCACCGGCTGTCCTCGCAGGACGAGGTCCAAATCTATACCTCATGTTGACAGTCGTGGCTGTTCGGCGCCTTACAGACAGTGGCTGAATTTTTTAAATTTTTTTTTTAATTTTTAATAATTTAATAATAAATAATTTTTTAAAGAATAAAAATAAAAAATATTTTAAAGGCTACATGTGTCAAGCTGGGGATGAATTAACCTGATATACAGGTAATTTTGGACTCAATTGAACTATTTTACATGTTTAGAGGATCTGAATGGAACTTTTTTTACTTAGGGGACGTAATTGCACTATCCGAATGACTTAGGGGACTTAATTTGACTCTTTTCCCAAAAAATAATAGTCTGGGATGTAAAATGACTAATGTGGACTAATTAAATTTGAAATTGTCGCCAAAGACAAGGGACCACCTATAGTAGAATTAACTCTTAAAATAAGAATTGTCATTTAAGTTGAATAATGATATTTATGGGAGCATATATACATTATTATTGCCTAGGGATGGCAATTGAACCCGCCCCCGATGGGGAAAACCGTTCCCCGCCCCGACGGGGATGGGTTCGGGAATTTATTTCGGGGAACGGGGGCGGGGATGGGGGGAATTTTCCAATCCCCGCCGGGGACGGGGACGGGGACGGGGAGGGCATTCCCCGCCCCGGCCCCGACCCCGATCCCCGCCCCGTCCCCGAATCCCTGACTAATAATATTAATATTATATATAAATTAATATCTCTCTTGTATATATTTAATCATATTCTTGAATTTTCATGTAATTAGTATTCTAGTTTAGGTACATACATTTTATGTTCATTGTTACCGTAATACCGTACATATATCTTGTATAAATAGGCTATGTTTATTTGTTTAAATTATTATTGAACATCAATGTATTATATTCTTCATTCTCTATCTCTGCATATTCTCATGGTATTAGTAGATGATTTTTTTTTTTTTTTCATCTTTGCGATTTAAGATTTTTCCTTAACAAAACTGTGTTTCTCTAGTTTTGTTAAGAATGCATATTATATTATGTGTGTTTTTAAAAAAAAAAAAAAAAAAAAAAAGTAAGCATGAATCAAAACGGGGCGGGGATTCCCCGTCCCCGAAAAATCCCCGCGGGGACGGGGATGGGGAATAATTCCCCATCCCCGCCGGGGAACGGGGCGGGGACGGGGAATGGGGGGACATTTCGGGGACGGGGACGGGGACGGGGACCCCATTCCCCGCCCCCGCCCCGCCCCGTTGCCATCCCTATTATTGCCAACACCTAAGCTCTCATTGTTTCCAACAATTCTTGTAAAATAACCAATTAACACTACAATAATAGCACTTCCAATTTATATATTAAAGTTACAAATTCTTAAAAACCTTCTTGTATACAATATTTCACGTTGAAGAAGAATAATCTCCATTCTCGTCTAAAATAACTACTTTAAGACCATTGGGGTTGCTTACTCTAGATAGAGCCACATAAAGTTGTCGATGTACAAAAACAAGTTTCTTTAAAAGTAACCCAACATTAGGCAGACTCTGTCCTCAACTCTTATTTATTGACATTGCATAAGATAACATTAGAGAAAATTGTCTTTTTCAAACTTGAATGGCAACCAAGAATCTGACGGTGTCATTGACAATCTAGGAACCAACACCCGTATACCCACACTTTTCCCAGATAGTATCTTAGCTTCAACAACATGATCGGCCAGCCGAGTAATAACCATTCTCGTTCCATTACACAACACAAAAAAGTGATCAATATTTCGCAACAACACCAGTGGGGATCTAACTTTAAGAGCAAGAGAATGGTTAGGAATCCCTGAGCATCGCAATCCGTTGAGGAATTTCGGAGTGTGTAACTCAGCAAATGTATATGTACATATGTTAGACTGGCAAACAACGTCAGAGCTAAAATATATTCTACCATCCACCATATTCAAATTACTCATTTAGTCATTGATTTCATTTACTACCACTAGTGTTAGTGCCAATATATCTCAACCATTCAGATACTCCGATCCATATCACAATCACCCGTAGAAAACATAGGGAATGTGCTCTTAACTATTGCTTCAATTGGATCAACTAAGGTTTTAACAAATTATATTTTGCAATTTCTATGTCTGCAAGCACGCACATCATTTTCTACACTAAGCTCACCATCACCTATAGCAGCTCCCCACTTTGCAAAATTCTCAACCCATGCACGACAATCAGCATCTCCTAATGTATGTAGTCTTAACTTCTTAGTCAATCTTAGAACCTTATAACTACTCTACAAATAAGAAGAGTTGATGCTTGCCCCAACAATATCTTATCTTGTCCCCTTTGGGATCACATGCAAGATTTGTCGAAAATCATCACCAAGAACTACTATCTTCCCTCCAAAAGTCATACCTGAACTCAATAAATTTGCAAACCTCAACAAATCTCTCATTGTTCGATCCAATCTTTCAAAGCAATGCTGATGCATCATAGGTGCCTCATCCCAAATAATTAGCTTACACTTTATAATTAATTATGCAAGATCACTACCATGTGTTATTATTATTTTAACTATTAAAATTTTCCGACGAGTTTTGACGGCAATTTGACTAGAGTGACCAAAATTAATAAAAATTGCATAGTCAAGGTACTAAATTAACATTTTTAAAAGTCGTAGACTGCAATTAACAGAACCCCTATAGTCACAGGACCAAAATTGAAATTTACTCAGTTTTTTTTTCATCATTTGTTAGAACCAAACCTAGATAAAATAATCACTATTAATCATAACTTATTAATAATAAATTGAGCAGAAGAGCTACTATTACCATATAAAACAGCTAAACAAAAATATCCAAACAAAAAAATTGAATTTTTTAGTACATCAAAATTTTTGAATATTTAATAATTAAAATTTATATATAGGTCGTACTAGGAACTAATTTTGCCATAACATTAATAACTCAAATACCAAATTAAATTACGCATATAATTTCGTCCCTTTGAAATTAATTGCATTTACAATATTATAAATTTAAAATAATAATAATAATAATAATAATAATAATAATAATAATAATAATAATAATAATATCTAATCATAAATTACAATATAAAATTTTAGTAATATGATTGTTATATACGTGAGAGGGGTATTTGTATGCTAGTACTCCAATATTTCTTCCTACGAAGCACGAATGTAAAACCCCAGAATTAAAGAGTTCCAATTCCCACTACTGGAAATTATGGAATTTTCGACCACCTGAAAGTGATCTTAAATCAAGTCGAAAGCCTTGTTCCGATCACTTTTGATATCCCGAAAAATCTTTGTTGCTATTTCCGACCACTTTTTTGCTTTCAACTTGATTTAAGATCACTTTCAAGTGGTCGGAAATTTCATAATTTCCAGTTGTGTCCTCAAAATAAATGTCAAAATTATTGATTTTTTAAATTTTTTTAAAAAGGTGAAATACGCATTATAGTGAAGTTAAGCCCTTAATTACAAAAAAAAAAAAAAAAAAAAAAAAAAAAAAGTTCCATTATAGCTTCTTAACTCGACGAAAAATTCTTAATTTAGCCTATTCAAGATGTTACTGCTGATTTGTTATTAATTGGGCTTCCACGTCATTAAAAGCTCTAATTGGAATATTTAAAATAACACCAATATTGAGTTTTAAAAAAATTAAAATAAATTTTCAGGAACATAAAAGTCATTACTTTAATATATAAATCACTATGAATATTGATGGGGGAATGAGCTTGAGGTCCAAAGTCAATTGGAATTGAGGAGTGGAAGCCCAAGCTTTAATTAGGTCAAGAGGATGTTGGAGTCCATGTGTAATGTTTGTGAAGCCTATGTAAGAAGGGATGAGGGTTAAAGGTGCAAATTGAGCTAATGATCAAAGTTAACGGGACGAGAGCGTAGAGGCTGAAGGGATGCACTACTATAGAAATGTATTACAACATCGCCCTTTTTAATATCGGTTCTTTACAAAATCGACGTTAAAAATTTAAAATAATTTTCATTTTTTTTTATAAATACATATAACATCGGTTATAACAAAAAACCGACGTTATATGTAACGAAATTAAAAAAAAATACAAACTATACGATGTCGGCTCATCCGTATAAATATCGAATTAATTTTAAATTTTTTATTAAAGTTACGGCGTCGGTTCTGAATATAACCGACGTCGTAACTTTAATAAAAAAATTAAAAAAATAAATATTTAAGATATACGAGTCGGCAACAATATAGCCGGCGTCGTATATATATTAAATAGCCTACAAATCGTTAATTTCTTACAAAAAAAAACCTAACAGCTCACAACCCTTCCTCCACACTCGCACGCCACACACCGCCGTCGCCACTGCTACGCCCCTTGACACCGCCGTCACAAACCTCATTCTCGTCGCCCTCAGCTCGCCGTAGCCCTCTCGACGAACACCAGCCACCGCAACATGCCAGCATCGGGTAGCCTCTCTGCAAAAGCTTCGCTGGATGTCGCCTCGCCGCCATAGCTCGCCGCAACAGCTGGACGTCATCTCGCCGCTTCGCCGGGGTACGGTATATATATATTTATTTTTATAAAATCATTTTTTTAATATTTATTTTGAATTATTTTTTATATATTTTGAATTTTATAATTATAGTTCGAATTTGTTATTATCTTTTGAATTTTATAAATTATTATTGTGTATATTTCGAAATTTTAGAAATAGTTGTGTATATATTCATAATTTTATGAGTTATTGTGTAAATTATGAATTGTTGTGTGTATATTTGGAATTTTATGAAATATTGTGTATATATTTTCAACTTTTAGAAATTGTTATCTATAAATGTTGAATTTTAGAATTATTGTGTGTATATTTTGAATTGTATTTTGTACATATTGTGGTTCTAGCTTGCAAAATAGCGTGAGAATCTAAATTAAATCACCTTAATTAAGTTATTCATGTATAGTTGTCGACTCAAATCATAGATATAACTCGAATATATAACTCGAATTGAAGCCTAATGTTGAGGTTACTTAGTTAATTTATGTTTTTTTTTTTTTTTTTTGTTGGGATATGTTTGGAAGAATAATGAATTACGGAGTATATAATAACATAAATAAACATGAACTGACTATCTTATCATATATATTATATAAGTAAAACTAAAATTAAACTTTTTTCATTCGTAAAATTTGAAAACTTGAAAATGGAATTTAATTACCTAGAACCCAACAGGGGCTTCCAACACCAGTAGAGGGCATTTCTAGCAAAGGCATTATTAATTAATTGATAAATCCCAATCAAAGATGCCATTATTTGTGCATATACATGTATTTTGTGCAGTTGTACGAAGTGGACAAAGAAGATATTTATACTAGATTGTACCAGGATCGGAGGCCAAGCTTCTGTTGAACTCCTAAAGATGTTTGATTTTTATTTTTTATTTTTTTAAGGTGAAATACGGCTTATAGTGAAGTTAAGCCCTTAATTACAAAAAAAAAAAAAAAAAAAAAAAAAAAAAAAAAAAAAAAGTTCCATTATAGCTTCTTAACTCAACGAAAAATTCTTAATTTAACCTATTCAAGATGTTACTGTTGATTTGTTATTAATTGGGCTTCCACGAAGTTATAATTGGAATCTTTAAAATAACACCAATATTGAGTTTTAAAAAAATTAAAATAAATTTTCAAGAACATAAAGTCATTACTTAATTAGTATATAAATCACTATGAATATTGATGGGGTAATGAGCTTGCGCTCCAAAGTCAATTGCGATTGAGGAGTGGAAGCCCAAGCATTAATTAGGTCAAGAGGATGTTGGAGTCCATGTGTAATGTTTGGGAAGCCTATGTAAGAAGGGATGAGGGTTAGAGGTACAAATTGAGCTAATGATCGAAGTTAACGGGACGTGAGCGTAGAGGTAGAAGGGATGCACTATTATAGAAATGTATTACAACGTCGTCTTTTTAACATCAGTTCTTTACAAAATCAACGTTAAAAATTTCAAATAATTTTTTTTATAAATACATATAACATCGCTTATAACTTATAACAAAAAACCGACGTTATATGTAAAGAAATTAAAAAAAAAAAAAAGGAAATTAGAAACTATACGATGCCGGCTCGTAAATGAGCCGACGTCGTATAGTTATCGAATTAATTTTAAATTTTTTATTAAAGTTACGGCGTCGTTTCTGAGTATAACCGATGTCGTAACTTTAATAAAAAAATTAATAAAATAAATACTTAAGATATACGAGTCGGCAACAATATAGCCGGCGTCGTATATATATTAAATAGCCTACCGATCGTTAATTTCTAACAAAAAACCTAACCGCTCACAACCCTTCATCCACACTCGCACGCCACACACCGCCGTCGCCACTACTACGCCCCTCGACATCGTCGTCACAAACCTCATTCTCGTCGCCCCTCGACTTCGTCGTCGCCCCCGTCATAGCCCCCTCGACGAACGCCAGCCGTCGCAACAGCCCAGCGTCAGGTCGCCTCTCCGCAAAAGCTTCGTCGGACGTTGCCTCGCCGCAACAGCTGGACGTCGTCTCGCCGCTTCGCCGGGGTTCGGTAATATATATTTATTTTTATGAAATTTTTTTTAATATATATTTTGAATTATTTTTTATATATTTTGAATTTTATAATTATATTTCGAATTTGTTATTATATTTTGAATTTTATAAATTATTATTGTGTATATTTCGAAATTTTAGAAATAGTTGTGTATATATTTATAAGTTTATGAGTTATTGTGTAAATTATGAATTGTTGTGTGTATATTTAAAATTTTATGAAATATTGTGTATATATTTTCAACTTTTAAAAATTGTTATCTATAAATGTTGAATTTTAAAATTATTGTGTGTGTATTTTGAATCATATTTTGTACATATTGTGTGTAAATTATTGTGTGTATATTTTGAATCATGTTGTGTGTAACGACTGTGAAATACACGATCATGGTGAATGGCATTGCTGGGGGGCAGGTGGTACCCACACGGGGACTCAGGCAGGGAGATCCTTTTATCGCCCTATTTGTTTATCATATGTGCAGAGGGACTCTCTATGTTGTTACAGAAGGCACAGATGGAGGGGGCTATACATGGTTGTAGAGTTGCTAGAGGAGCACCCTCAATGTCACATCTGTTTTTCGCAGATGATAGTCTCTTATTTTTCAAGGCGAATATCCAGGAAGCTAGTGTAATCAAACAGTGCCTGATTCGATATGAGAAGTTGTCTGGCCAGATGGTGAATTTTGACACATCTAGTATTTGTTTTAGCAGAAATACTCAGGAGGTAATAAGGATGGAAGTGGCGGCTTGTCTCGAGGTGGAGCAGGCAACGAATTTTGGAAAATATCTTGGGCTACCGTCTTTTGTAGGGAGGAATAAAAGGGTTGTCTTTTCATATGTGGAAGACAAGATCAGGCAAAGGATTGGTTCATGGAACAAAAAATTGCTATCACAGGCTGGTAAGGAAATACTCTTGAAAAGTGTAGCACAATCTATGCCTATATTCTCCATGAGTGTTTTTTTGCTTCCTGAGACTGTGTGTATGTCTATTGGGAGAATCATTAATAGATATTGGTGGGGGTGTGGAACAGAAAGAGGTATACACTGGAAGGCGTGGGATAAGTTATGCATCCCCAAGAAATATGGTGGCTTGAGTTTTAAGGATTTAAGGGCATTTAATTTGGCTATGTTAGGAAAGCAGGCATGGCGGCTCCTAACAAATCCCACTACTTTGGCTGCAAGGATATATAAGGCACGTTATTACCCCACTACTTCTTTTATTGATGCAAAAGTACCCCACTACTTCTTTTATTGATGCAAAAGTAGGGAGCTGCCCGAGTTATTGTTTGAGAAGTATAATGGCAGCACATGGGATTGTATGCTCAGGTGTGCGTAGCAGAATTGGTAATGGCAGAACGACATTGATCTGGGGTCATCCCTGGTTACCAGATAATCCCAGTCCACTGGTCAAAACTATTATGCCTGAGGAGTTGGGAAGTGCCTGGGACCCCCATATTTTAACAGATTTATTTGACGACCCAGAGGATGTGGCGCGTATTTCTATGATTTCGGTTAGCCCGGACTATGAGGACACGTGGTTCTGGTTAAAGGAGCCAACAGGAATCTACACGGTTAAGAATGTTTATAGGCAGATTGTTGGTGATTATGAGCATAACCCGGGAACTTTTGATAAATGGGTTAAATTATGGAAAATGAAAGTACCACCCAAATGGAAGACCTTTTTGTGGCGAACTTTATGTGATATCCTCCCTACCACAAATAATTTAATTATGAAGAGAGTTGAATTGGAACCTGTGTGCCCAATGTGTGGATTATTTGATGAAAATGTGATGCATGCCTTAATTACGTGTGATTATTCGAAAATGGTATGGGGTATGTCGGGGTTACCTGTTATAAATATTGTGACAGATTCTTTGGTGGCATGGCTTATGAGAATTTTTTATGCTTTAACAGAGGATCAGTGTGGCCTAGCTGTATCTATTCTCTACAATATATGGAATGCCCGAAACACCGCTGTTTGGGAGCAGTCCCTTCCGCGACCAGCACAAGTCACCCGGTGTGCTGCAGCAGCCGTGCGTCTCTACCGCCAGGTTCACCAGCGTGTTCGGGAGCCGGAGCTTGCTGCAACGTCAACGACAATAGGGGACAGCCGACCGAAGTGTTATATAAATGCAGGTTACAGGCACAACACCGGGGAAGTGACATATGGGGCGGTGTTGCTTTCTCATCACGACATGTTTATGGCCGCAACAAGTGGCAAGTTATCCGGGGCCTTCTCAGCTGTGATGGCGGAGGCGTTGGCTTGCAAAGAGGCCCTATCATGGCTCAAGGAACGAGATATTCAGAAGGTGGACCTTCTCACGGATTGTTCAGAATTGTGGAGTGCACTATACTTAGGCTCTACACCAATGTTGTCTTATGTTGGGATCATTGTGGACCAGTGTAGGACAACTATGTTTTTATTTATTCATTGTTCATTAAGTTATGTCTCCCGAACATTAAATTTACATGCTCATACTTTAGCTTCATTAGCTTTTGATCAGGAACAACCTATATATTGGGACTTTGTCCCTCCTGACACTATCATTCAGTTCATTTAATACTATATCGCAGATATATTTTTCAAAAAAAAAGTTATTCATGTATAGGTGTCGACTCAAATCATAGATATAACTTGAATTGAAGTCTAATGTAGAGGTTACTTAGTTAATTTATGTTTTTTTTTTTGGAAAAATGTCACTTTTTCACCCTGAGTTATATACTTATAGCACTTTTCCCCCCTGAATTATTTAAGTAGCTCTTTTTTCCCCTAAAATGTTAAATGGACATATTTACCCTTAAAATAAATATTTCATTTATTTTTTCTTCTCCAACAAATTATTACTATAATTTGGTTCAAACCAAACAGAAACTATAGCAACCAATACTATAGCAACCAAACCAAAATATTCCAATTACAATTTAGAATCAAAACGCGATATTTAGAGTTTATTAAAATCGCAAACTGGAATGGCCGGTTCATGTTCCGAACTGAAAAAATAAAATACATTTATTGTTTTTAGACTATTTTAAAATAAAAAAATAAAATAAAATTTTTAAATAAAGACGGTTCAAAATCGCGAATCGGATCCAGAACTGCCGGTTCACGGTTCATGATCCAGTTTTTTTGGTTCATAAATTTAATAAATTGAAATTCAAATATTCGGTTCTAGATCTGAATCATAACCGAAAAGTTTTAATTCGAATGCTATAGTGTCCGGTTTAATTCGAACCGAACCGTGGTCATTGCTACATATACACAATAATTTGTTGGAGAAGTAAAATAAATAAAATGTTTACTTTAAGGGTAGAAATGTCAATTTAATATATCAGGGGGGAAAACCACCACTTTTAAAATAATTGAGGGGGCTAATATGTTTACATAAATAATTGAGGGGGAAAAAATGCTATAAGTATATAACTTGGGGAGAAAAAGTGCCATTTTCCCTTTTTTTTTTTTTTTTTTTGTTGGGATATATTTGAAAGAATAATGAATTACGGACTATATAATAACATAAATAAACATGAATTGACTATCTTATAAATTAAACTTTTGTCATCCGTATCTCTACATCGGCAATTTATATCCTGCACCAGGGCGCGCATTGCATTGTGCTCCCTGATGCAAAATGACGTCGTTTCAGATTTTTATTTTTTTTAAAAAAAAATTCGCTACCCTGTGTTGGCGGTTAATTTTTTGTAAAAAAAAAAAAAAAAAAAAAATCTCATGTTAAAAAATGTACATAATTTTATACTAGAATACACATAATTGTATATATGAATGTACATAATTGTATAACAAAATACACATACTTTTTTTTTATAAAAGATAATACATATAATCTAACATAATACATAATATACATAAACTTTTAACATAATAAACATAAACTCTTAACATAATACACATTTCGGATGTACATAATTGTATAAAAAAAGATGTACATGATTGTATAAAAAATTAATGTATATAATTGTATAAAAAATGTACATAATTGTATAAACAAACACACATAATCACGTCAACTCCCTACATAACTTGCCAAAACGACGTCGTTTTGGGAGACGCTGGGCGCACAGTGCTACGTGCGCCGTGGTGCAGGGTATAATGATTGACCTACATCTACATGGCATATATATATACTAGTTTTTTACGCGCATTGCGCGATTGGGATAATGCCCAATGCTTTTTTTTAAAATAAGTACTTTAAAGTATATTAAGATAAGATTATATTGAAATTGTTCATGCATAGATAATTGAAGGTTGAATTTGCGTATTTAAATAGGTAATTCTTCTCCCAAAGGTTGAGTCCCCAACCCCAAGGGCCCCCCACACTCCGACCCGACAGAGCATTGTGGGAAGTTGTAAATCACAGTGACTCAATAGTTCAGCAGACAGGGCCAAATGCTGATACGCACAAGGAATCTGCCCACTTTGGACATAATTCCCGCACTGCCACCGCCGAGGTTCAAACCTTCGTCTCTTCTCCCAAATACTACCCACTAAACCATTGAGCTAAGCCCGTGCGGGTTAAATAGGTAATTCTAAGTTTACAAATGCAAGATAATATAGTCAAGATTGATTATAATTGTCAATAAAATAATTGTATAGGTATGGTTGAAACCAAATACGGGACATAAGGGAGAACAAATAAAAATTAGGACAGAAAATATTAAATATATACTAATATTGTTTGAGGAGATTCCGACATTAGGATTTGTGGTTAAGTTCTATTAAGACTTTAGTATTAGAATTAGATTAATGGTGTAGTTATAATTCTATATTAGACTTTAATATTAGAATTAGACTAACGGTGAATTAACGGAAAAGTTAAATGGATAATCATATAATTAAGGATAAATTAGAAAATCTTAAAAGAAAAAATTAAAACCTGAACAATATGAACCATTCATTTGATTTAATAATTTGGCGGTCATCTTTTCTACCCAATGTTAATAATTAAATAAATTCGTTGGTCAAATCCGCTAGTATAATCCGCTAACGCTAACCGCTAACTGCTGATTGTCAAACAAGGACATTGCGAGGTAGTTCTCACTTCAATTTGTTGTGTGATTTGAATACTCTCGTTGTCACAAAATCTCTCAAGCAGTTAATATGGTTGGCTTTATTAATTATATTTTTTTAGTTTTTTCATGGTATTAATAAAATACTTGGTAAATAAATATATAGCATTATTTTGTATTATAACTTTGATATTTAATTAGAAAAATAGTGCACAAAAAAAGATAATAGATAATGTAGTGAATATAATCAATGATTGATGAATTTGAATGTAAAAATTTTTACATTTGAGAAAAATAAAGACAATATAACTAATGAAAATATTTGTTTTAATTAATTTATTGATAATTAATAAATTTTTTTCACTGAATAAAGACATTGTAAGGATAATGTAGCAAATATAATCAATTAATAAATTTGAATATAAAAAATTTTTATATTGAAGAAAAATAAAGACAATATAACTAATAAAATTATTTCTCTTATTTAATTGATTGATAATGAATAATTTTTTTTTTTTTTGGAATAAAGGCATTGTGGACACATAATTCTAAATTAAAGAAATGCATATGTATTATTTTTTGTTGTAACTACTAAATTATTATTTATATAATTTAATAAGAGTAAAATAGAGTACTAATTATGCCAACTTTGATTGGGATGGGGCTCGAACCTAAGACCTTTTTTTTTTTTTTTTTTTTTTTTTATTGAAATCAATGAGTAAGTTAATGGTGAACTAACGACAATTCTTAAAATTTTAACGGAATTAGTAACGGTGTGTGGGTATTTTAGGAAATTTTAGTGTAAAATTTAAATCTGATCAATCTTTTAATTAATCTGAGCCATTCATTTGATTAAAATCTGTGACCGCCATTTTTTCTACCCATTATAGGCCTAACTCTCTTGGTCTCTTATTAGTATAGTAGATAGATAGTAGATATAGTAGAACTAGATATATGAACATTCATGGTTTAATTTCATTTATTTATTTATTTATTTATCGTTTTATGTTTGCTATCATCCATTTATATTTTGGCAAACAAATTCATTTGTGTTATCAATACTGTGCCTAAGAAATAAAGTAAGATACTCATTGTGATTAGATTTATCTATTTCCTATTATCTTCTCTGATCTGTGTTTATTGTGAATCACATTATCGCTTTGTGACTTGCATTCTTAATTTTTAGTTCACTTTCTACAGTTCCAATGATCTTGTGTCATCTGTGTGTATACTATCACTACATTGTAATTTGGGTTCTTTTTTTTTTTTTTTTTTTTTTTTTTTTTTTTTTTTTTGCTTTATGCAGTCAACGCATATGGCCTCTTAGCAGAGAACAGAAGTGGAGACGGGAGAGACATACACCCATTCATTATGCATTTTACTACTTATTTTACTACTTGTTTTTCTAAATCCATTAGTTTTACATTTTAGTATTTATATTTACTTTTCTCATGTGCTATGTATTATGTTGTATGACATTCTAATGCTCTGCCATTATCATTATTATTATATCTGAAACTTTAATAAATTTATTATGCAAATGGTTTGTGCCAGTTATGACTTATTAAATAAAATTTACTAGCTAGAATAAATAAATGGTTTGTGCCTAAAGTACGTTTTCAGTTGTAAACAAGACTTAATAACTTTTAGCTCCTGAAAGTCTCCCTAAGAAGTAGGTTATATGGTTAGCATATATGTTGGGGCAAAATTCTGTATAAAGTAACTGTCTACTTCAGATTTTTTCATTTTTGTCTCCCTTTAAAAACTGATCATCAAATCCCTACTCCCTAGTGGATGGAATTTTTCATCTCTTTCATTTTCATTTGATATTTTATGTGTCATCATTATCCATATTCTTTAGTTAAGACAAAAAGATGGACCATAAATTACTGTTTTACTTTAGTATTTTATGTGTCATCATTATCCATATTCTCATGAAATTTATTTGAACTACTTCTTAATGGTCTCTCCCGTTTTGCAGCCCATATTCCTCTCTATTTGCATCCTTTTCTTTATACAACAAGCAAAAAGACCTTTCGAATATCTTAATTAAGCTTACTAGCTCAGGTGTCATTATTATTATTATTATTTTAAAGTTAACATACGACGTCGATTTTCTTAGAAAAGCCGAAGTCGTATGTTAATTTTTTTAAACTATTAGATATTCGTTTTATCTAAAACCCGACGTCTTTTCCTATTTTAAAATTCTAAAAAAAAAAATATAAGACGTCGGTTATTTATAAATAACCAACGTTTTATGTTAATTTTAAAAATTAAAAAATTATACGACGTCAATTTTGTTAACCGACGTCGTATCTCTTTACTTACAATGTCTGCGGCATAGACGTCATCCAAAAACCGATGTTAAAAGTAAAAAAAAAAAAAAAAAAAAAAAAAAAAAAAAAAGCAACGTTAAAAGCTTTATTTGTAGTAGTGATGGGGCATAAAGTAAAAAAGGGCAGAAAAGTTTAGAGGCCAACATAAATTATCTGGTCTCACGATACAAAGAATGCGAAGGGGACGATTTTTTCAAGCT